CCCCCCCCCCCTCCCCCCCTCCTCTTGGTCCATCCTTTTCTTTGCTTCAGCAGTGAATCACCTGCTAAAAAGGGGGCAGGCCTACACGCCTTTTTTGAGACTACTAAGGCATATCACGTCAAAATTGCTATGCATCACTTTCTATTATAGAGAATGTTATTATAAAGTGCTATAAAAATCTTTTAGATAGCTTTCATCTACTGTCACAATTTTAGTATCCATAGCACTCGTTGATTGTAATGTTTACATTTTAATAACATTTCATTTTTGTATTATTTTGATTTTAATAAACTTCTTTAATTGCCATTTTTACATTCTCAATAGCATTCTTTTTCAATCATAATTTTTGCATTATTATGGAACGTGATAATGCAATAAAGATCCTATAAGTTGTTGATGCAATTTGCACCATAAATGCATTTAGCTGTAAGTAGATAGAACAATGTTAACATAGAGAAATGATTCAAGAGGTGAAGGGATAAAGAGACTATACACCAATAAAAAGAAGTAGGTCTCAACATTTTAATCAAAATTGAACCTCCTAAATCCGAACCGGAGGTTCCGGTCCGATTCAATAAAAAAAAAGGAATTAGAAATCGGAATCAAAAATCAATTGAGTTCGGGTTGGTTCTTGGTTCCTAAACCAGAACCGTAAGTACCCGAATGGAATTGATTTTTTATATAATTTTTTATTTTTTACAATTTATAGGCTGAATAAAAAACATAAAATCTAAAAACTCTAATTTAGGTAATAATTTGTCTAAAACTTTAGACTCTAACCTTAAAAAATATGATTGACTCCTAATTTTTTGCATCTCGCCTCACATTAAATTGTTGCATTCAGAGGTTACTACAGGTTAATCTTTCAAATTTGAGCTTTCTATAAATCAAAAGGTTCAAGCTTTTTGTTAAAGCGTCCATTTTTTTTATAATTCGAGCTTTTATTTTTTTGCATTGTCTACAAACTTGAATGATTTTTTTATTTTTTTATAACGAGTGACAATTGAACTTGATATATTCATATATAGTTTGGGCTATGATGTACTTTTTTTGTTATCACGAGTTCGTGGTTGTCTTACAAAATAAAAAAAAAAATTTCTTTTGTACCCAAATAGAGCTAGTTCAATACACGTACTGCAATTTCTTTGATACTATATAACTATGTATCTAATTAACATTTTTTATGTCATTTCATTTTAAAAGTAGAAAAATTTAAATATTTTCCATAATTAAAGTATAGTCTCTAGCATGCGTCATTTATGGATCAAATAATTTTTGAATCATGTAACTGGATTTTTTTAGCTTTTTGAAGATTACTTAGCTTGATTTTCTATCTTGCATAAATATTGTCCTAAGTATACGTATCTAACGAGCCTATATGAAAATATTTATTTTATATATATTGTTATTGGTAGAACCAAACCGAAACCGACGGTTTGGGTTTGGGACTGGTTCCAATAATTACAAGGATCTAATTGGTTCCATTTATGAAATACTCAAAATATAATAGGTGATTTCGGATATTGAGATTTTCGGACAAATCCATCCGACACTCACACCTAGAAAGAAGTTACAACAAAAGGCCATTAAACTCCAGCGCTCCTTGAATAAAAGACCAATAGTTGGTCTCTAGTTGACGACTCAGGTTGACAAGCTTCCACGGGCAACTCTGCCAGCAGAAATCAATGAAACTTCAACAATCTCACTCAGATCACAGAGCACACAGAATCCTTCACAAGACTCAGTCTTCACATATAAAAGTATAAAGAAACAGAATAATTGGCAAAGCAAACGTTAATAACGTTGACAGACAATCATATGAAAACCCAAAATCAATCAATGGCAATCTGGTTTTAATAAAGAGACCCCTTCTGTATTCCATTTACTCTGTCCAATCTTTTTCATTATTTTCTATAAATGAACTTGACAGCTCGTTTCTTCGACATGAGAACCCTATCACGTGGATAAATGGACTTTGGAGCAAAAGGTGTTTTTTTTTTTTCATTTCATGGTAGGCCTATTACATTGACATCGTAATAAATTAACTTCGATAGTACTCTTATCTAGCAAAGTCTTGAGTTATCTATTTCGTTTAAGGGTGTTAAGTGAAGTGAGTTACTCGTCGACTCGATTCGATTCGGCTCACATCCCGATGAACTGCTGGCACGAGCTGAGCAAAAAATCACTCGTTCGAGCCCCAGCTCGTTGACTCTCGAGTGACTCGCATTTTAGCTGCAAAATACTATTTTCAGCTAAAACAAAAAAAAGGTGAGTCGATAGCCGTCTTGGGACAAGCCAAGCCTAACTTTCTCGAGGGACAAGCCAAGCCTAACTTTCTCGAGGCAAGGCGAGTCTAGGGGTAGGCAAGTGAAGTTGCTCTTATCGCCACATTTAACACCTCTAATTTCGCCAATAAATTAAATTATATTGAGTAGAGCGGGGAAAACAAAATGTGTTTGGTGTTTAGTACAAAATAAATATGAAATGGATGTCTAAATATCTTGGTAACTGCCAAAAGTGTGCGTGTAGGAATATGCTATTTTCTCCCATCGGTGCTAAGCATGAACCTAGCTGTCCATAAGTGTCCTTATATGATTGAACATCTTAGATGAAGACATACGACTCATATTTAAAATATGCAATCAATTAATTCACAGCTAAATGAGTGATTAGCATCAAAAGGATTGAATATCATTACTCGTGTCCATAGCTTTGTTATCTACTAGACAACGAAAAGTATTGAGACACTTGGACCAATGAGAGTGTGTCATGTTTCAGATGGATCATGGGGCCTTCAAAATATTATTGATGATGCACAAAATCTTTTGTGGTCACAGTAAAGTCGAGTACAAAAACAGGTTAATGGTACAATACAGTGGAAATTACTCAAAACCTTACT